TGACAAACAAAAAGAAGACACGAAAGGGGGGGGGGGGGGGGGGGGAGAAGCGTGGGTTAGAATCTTGTATTGAACTTCTCTTTACCTTTATTTCTATTTTATTTTTCTTGTTTTTGGAGAATAGTATATCCTCCTCTAGGTTGTATTTCCTATTTCTTCATCTCATATATTTCTTTTTCCATCAAAAGAAAAACTTAATGTTGGGAACATATTAGGCTGATGTGGACACTAGTTCACGAGGAGTGAAATAGACCTTTCTGTAAGGGGTTGAAGTTGAGTCCAAGTAATGGTGCTAGAGCTAGCAAGATGTAAGAAGGAAGAGGTGAGAAGAGCAGACTGGGACTTAGGGACTGCTAAAGCTTTAGCTCATATCAGTGCAAGTGTAGGGATTAGCATGGACTTTACATTATCACTCTTATCCCCAAAATCCTTATCCTTGAAAAGGTTAGATCCATTAAACCTTTTATCTTTTTTTCCTATCAGCTTGCTGACTCATGTTCATGAGATTATTACAAAGGTCTAGGCTTTGGGGTTAGCTAAGGTGTTCTGGTATAAATCTCTATTGATTAGAGCATATTTGTTGCCAAAGAAAATATTTTTGATGTCTTTCTTATTCATAATAAAGCAGTTAAAGATGATCAAGAAGAAGTTGAAATGTCTTGTTTTTCAGTTGGATTTTGAGAAAGGGCATGATAGATTGGAGTCCCTTTCCTTGGGAGAAAGTCATGGGCAGGAAAGAATTTAGAGACAGATGGAGAGGGTGGATTGGGGACATTTAACATCTGTTGCATTCTCTATCACTGTTAATAGTGAGCCTAAAACGTGGTTTAAGAGCTAAAGAGTTGTGAGACAAGAGGATTTTCTTTTTCTTTTCTGTACACCTTGGTTGTTGATGTTTTAAATCGTATCCTTTCCAGGGGCTTTATGCAAGCTTCTTTTGTGAGGGAGGACAATGTGGAAGCTTAACACTTGTATTTTATAGATGACCCCATCATTTTTGTGCCTAAGATAGGAATGTCTTTCTTAACATCATTTGCTATTTATAACTATTGAGGTTGTAAGTCAGCTTATTAATTTAAAGAAGGGTGGATTTGTTGGCATTAGATGAGAGTCATGTCATTGTTGATCTTCCTATGACTATTGGTTGCACTGTTTTGCATTGCCCTATTATCTATTTAGAGTTGCCACTTGATGGTAATACTCGTCCTAGTTCTTTTAGGGACCCTATCTTCGGTAAGACCAGCAAGTGTCTTGAATATTGGAAAGGTGTTCTTTTCTCTTTAGGAAGTCAAGTTATTATCCTCGGTGCTTGTTTTTCAAGTATACCTCCTTATCTTTTTGTCCTTGTTTAGAATCTCCAATGATATAGCTAACAAAGTGGAGAAAACTATGAGAGATTAGAGATTCTCATGGTTTGAAGTTGTCGTGGTTTGAATTGGGGGAGGACTCTAAGGATCATTGGTTCGATTAGAAGTGTGTTGCAAGTATATAAAGGATGGGGACGTCGACGTTGAGAATCTTGTACTGAAGAACCCCACACTTGTGGCTAAATGGTAATAGCGCTTGCATTTGATTATGGAGCTTCTTTTGGTACCTTTTTCTTTGTGGTAGAGAGTGGTCGAGTGCAAGTTTGGGTTAATCTAAAACTCAGGGATGCTAAAGCCAGATCAAATATCACTTACAGAAGCTGCTGCAAATCCATTTCTCGGGTATATGATTCTTTTTTCCGCTTGTTTCTTTTAGCCAAGGGTTCCCATTTCCTCGCTTGGGAAGGTAATTGGAGGGGTGAGTCATCTTTTGCTACTTGTTTCACTCTCATGTATAGCCTTTCTTATAGGTATGTACCTCAAATCTCTATTTTCACAAATTGTTTCGATGGCCAAGTTTCCTAGAACTTTCTGTTCTTCTGTAAACTAAATGAGAGGGAAATGAAAATTTTGATATCTTTGATTAACAGTCTGAATTGTTTTTTCCCAACCCATACTCTTGATAGCCGTGCTGGGAGCCTCGAGTCCTTAGGTCTTTATACTTGCAAATCTTTTTATTAGTCACTCGTCAAACCTAATACTCATACAAAGTTATCTTGTTCCATACATTGGGAAAGTAAAAGCTTTGAAGTTTTTGTTTGGACTGCAATACTGAATAGGATTAACACGAATGATATTCGCTGAAGTTGGAGGCCTCATATAACTCTTTCTCCTTACATTTGTTTGATGTGTTTCCATAGTTCAGAGAGCATCATATATTTTTCCAGTATTCTGTGGTGCAGAAGTTGTGGAGCAGGTTGTTTTTCTATGTTTTGAGTCGTGTGGCTGTTCCTCCTAGGTTGGAGATATTTATTTCTACCACTATGTAGAGTAAACTGGACCAAGGAGCATAAGATGTTGTAGAAGGGCTTCTTTTGTGGATCTTGGGTCAATTGGTGGGAACAAAACGCAAAATTTTTTCAAGGTCTGATTCTTTTGAGACAAGGACATAGGATGTTTTTTTGTAAATTTTTTAGTGTATGCGTGATGGCTGCATGATCGAACTGGGGTATACTTAATCTCAATGCATTATAGTTGGTCCAAGATGCATTGACCACCAAACCCAAAATAATGTTTCGTCAATAGGAAGTACGATTTACATAGGAATGGTTGGGATTCCACAGCTTAGGAATCTTCGACTCAGAGAAGCCCGTGGAAGGGCATTTATCAGCTTTTTGATCTTTTCAATCCTCTTACTTGGTTGATGTTGGCAATGGTACCCTTGTTTTGTTTTGGGAAGACATTTCGATTGCTGATCTTCCCCTTGCACCATACACCCGGTTGTCATTTATAACCACTTTAATGGTTGGTCTCTTAGCTTTGAACTTCTTCTTTTCCAGGAATCTAAAATGACTGTGAACTCCCCAGATTTAATTTTTTAACATAACCTTGTTTATCTGCTCTCATCAACCGGATTACAGAATCTGGACGTTGGATTCAATGAGTGGGTACACCTGTAAATATTTCTTTACTTGTCTTACTCACCTGTAAATATTGCACGTTCGAAAACCTAATAATGTTATTTCTCCAGAATTTTGCATTGTGTTATAAAGAGGCGGAGTGCCGTCGTCATCTCTTTTTGCATTTTGAGTTAGCTTGGAGGCTTCAGTCTGGACTTTTTGGTACTTTTAGTTTTAGCGGGTTGATCATTCCTCTCGTTATGGTTTTCTTTCTATGAATCTTTAAGGGTGGTGGAGTGAAGAAGGAAGCTAAGGTGCTCCAGAGATGTGCTTTTGTCACTGGTCTTTGGGTTTTATGGTTGGAGCACAATGCTAGTCTTTTCAGGGATTGTTATCTTCCTCAATTCGTTCTCTGGATAGGTTGACTTTCTTTTTATTTTTGTGGGCCAAGGCTCATGGTATTTTAGGGATGTAACATTGGCTGTTTTGCAGTGAAATAGCCAATGATACATCAATGTTGTGTCTTTTTCCTATTATTTAGGAGGATTCCTTGTTCTCTGTTGTAATTTTTTGACTTCTTTCTCATAATATATATATTTTTCTGTAAAATAAAAAAAATTAACCACCAGTTTCATATATTATGGGATAGGACGCTATTCTTTGCTCCTAGACCCTATGATTTCTTTGAGAGAAAAAAAAAACTCTTGTTTTTATTTGGATGATGCCTTTATCCATTTTGCAAATGGATTTTATCTCTATTATTTCTTACTGCATTCTGCTTTTAGTTTTTCTCCTTTTGTAATTTTTTGCGTTCTTTTATTTTTTTCCTGGTTTGGAAGGATATTTTATCCGTTTCATCTCTATTGTAACTTTTACTTCTCTTCAGTATATATTATATATTTTGTTCTATAAAAAAAAATGTTAGGGCTGATATGGCTAAAAGCTCAATAATGGTTTGATAGCCTTTGAATGACAAAGAATATAATTGAGAGGAAAATAAAGTCAAATAAAGTAGGACAGGTAAATGTATAATTTGAAAATTCAAAGGGTAGTTGGCCCAAAGCTTTGGAGAAAATTGTACTTTTTCCCTTAATATTCAAATTAATATAAATTAAATGTGGCAATTGTAATTTTGCAGAGAACCATGTTGTTGTTGGTGAGCTTTTGGAGTCTAAGTCTACTCAAGATGACGGTAACACAGCAAAGTCAATGCAGGCAGAGGCCAACTGGAACCCCGATTCTGATGCATCCCAAGTTACTGGAGGCTACAGTATTGGCTTTTCATTGACAGTTTTGCAGGTCTGCCTGTTGTAACGATGCTCTGCCTACCATTCATCATGTCTTAAATTGATGAAGATACATTCAGTCTGAACATATTTTCCGAGCTTATCTTTATTTTATTATTTTCCCTGAAATTATGTACTGAAGAGTGAATGCCAACAACTCATATGTGAGATTCTGCGAGCTACTCCTGAAGCTGCATCGGCAGATGCTGCTGTTCAAACAGCCAGACTTGCGAACAAGGTCCCTTCAAAGGAAAAAAGGCAAGTGCCTGTAGTTTCATGTTTAATTTTGTCATGACAGTCTGCTTTATTCTTTCTTCACTGTGAACCTCATTTATTCATTTTTTTTATAAAGAAATATTATCAGAGAAAAAAAGCTGTTACAAGTGATAATGAGAGAGTAAGATATCATCCAGGCAAAAAGCAGAAAACAAGAAAAAAGGTCTTGACAGAATAAATGTCCACTTCCTTGCGAAAAAGGTTTATAAATTCCCTCAAAGAAACCTTGGGCTTTTGCCCGAAGGGGAAGCAACTAAAATCAGCCTACCGATACCATGTAAGATGGTTGTAATTGATGTTCAAAAATCGTACTTCCCTCCTGCCAAATTATGCACAAACAGGCAAAGATAATCCTCTTCCGCAGCATCTCATGCTCATTATTTGCCCCGCATCATGCAGAAAAGATTGAGATAAGAATATCCAAACTAGAGGGGTAGACCCGAACTTTCCCAAATATCGCTACAACTTCCTTATAGAGGACAATCAAAACATTTGATTATTACCCTAACCATGAAAATACATCAAGCGAATTTTGCGAGAGAGCTTTATGAGGTTTCTAGATTTCAAGGATATTGTTGCTTAAGTTCCTACCAGGTAATATGCGACCGATCACTTTCTAGTTTCAAAAACCACAATTGCATGTCTCTCTCAAGGTGAAAGGAAGCTTATCCTACTTTCTCTTCTTATGGTGTATTTTGGTGTTTGAAGAAATGATTACATCTATTTTGCCATCTAATGAATCAGTGCTGCCAACATATTGAGAGAAATCCAATTTGGAATATTGAGAAACAAAAGGGACTTTTTCCGACCCTTGTCAGCATTGATTTCTTCAATAAAGGTATAGTGCTTTAGTGATTACTTTTTGCCTAGTTGGGATCTATGGGATTGGATGTCATTTTTTATCACACTTTGGATGAACGCTCATGGACAATTTTCAGACACTGTTCTCTCTGTTTTATATAGGAATTGGGAGGCAATAGTCTTGTTCCTCGGAATTAGGAGTCTATGCTCCTTTGTTAGGATTTTTATGTTTTCTTTTTCGCTTTTGTTATTTTGATTTTTTTCTAATTGAAAATATGAAGATGTCTTATTCTCCATATTTGTAATCTTCTTTCTCTTTCTAATAATATTTTTTACCTAGTAAAGGAAATCTCTGTCTCCATCCTGCCTGCTGATCGTCCTGTGGGTAGTTCTTCTGACAATTCTTTCAAACATCTAGCCAATATTTGTTGGGGCAGTTAAGTTTTCACGATACAAACAATCCTGTGCAGGATCATCTTGTTACAACTCGAGAAATTCTCGAGTTTTTAAATAGTTTGCAGATCACCCATAACTTCTTATTCTGATGCCAAATAGATTCCAAAGTCCTAGACCTAGTTCTGGGTCCTCCAACACTGAAATCTGCAATTACAGAACCAAAATGTTTCTTTTTTCTTCTATCTTTGGGGCCTATTTTGGATTATTCAGAAGCTTGTGCTCATTAGGAGAGAAGCAAACGATCTCCTGAACAATATTCTTTAGTTTACTGACAAACTCAGAGAAACATTTTCAGCATAATTTATTCTTAAACCAGATGGCCTTTATATGATCTATTACCTAGGAATCCAGTGACCACTATACAGGACCATAACTTAAATTGAACTCAAACTGGAAAATTCAAACATAAAACCATCCAGCAATATCCATACAATAAACCACCCATTCTCAACTGCCAAACTAACAAAACACTAATGTATAACAATTTAGTTATTAATCTAATTCTCCTTCCTTTTTTCTTGTGGGTGAACCTCTTATAGTCCTTGGTTGTGAATAGATGGATTATGTGCTTCTTTCATGCCATTGACATTTATAATTATTTGCTTCTTTCATACTATTGACATTGTATCTTCTGGTTAATATTGAAGTACTTGCGTTGATTCGGAGTTGTTACTTGTTACTTGGTATATTGCACATAATCATGTGCTTTTGCGACTGAGCTTTCCGTGTGATTATTATATGAAGAAGCTAACTGCGCATTACGTGCAACTTTCTCTGCTTGTAGATGTTTATCTCTCTCCAGTTTTGCCTGGATGTTTTTCACTTTTGAAGCTAGTCTCTACATCTGTATTTTGTTGATATGGTTCATTGAAAGAGCATACTTGACAACCCTCCCATACCCCCTCCTTTTCATAAGCTCTTTTGCATATGGACTGTGTGATATAATGTACCAAAATATCTTTGTTAGAGATGATTGCAATGGTTCTCCTTGATTCTTAGTATGCGTGGAATTTCTGTAAAGTTATGATGTTTTAACGATTTGACATTGACAGGGATGCATCAGAAGATGGTCTTACATTTGCTTTTCGTTTCACAGATGCTAGTATATCAATTCCTAACCAGGGTATGGTAAATAGTATACTTTTGAAATGCCTACACCTCTCTTAATTGCTTTTATGAAAAATAGAAATGTCCTTTGTCATCTTTTTGGCCATGATCTATGCGAAATTTTATGGAGCTCTTTGCAATTGATGGTTTTAATTTGAAGGATAGCAGTATAGAATGATCTCTGAAGAAAAGAATCTGTATTTATAATTAGTTTGAGAAAGAATTTTTTTTGTTCGAATTAAATATATACTAGAAGGATCTACTCTGATTTGTGGTAAAAGAAAGGCTTGGTCTAGTAGCATGCGTTAAGTAATCTTTCTTGAAGAATATTTATTTTAGTAATTGTTAGAACATAAATAATAATATTAGGCTTTTTCCTGTAATTTTAAGTTTATAGAACAATGAATTATCTTACTCAATTACTTCATATGATGCTAGAGTTGGAGATCTAGATTTTTGA